GCTTGCCTTGTGTGCCCTGTCTTATGCCTCACACGCCTTGCTATTCTTGTGTTATGTCTATCAGCGTTATGTTATGTTAATACAGTGTTACGCTGTCCACTGACGCTTAATCATGTCGATTTTGTGATGCTTTTACACGCGTAAAACTAATTACAAAACAATTGGTCACTTATGCAACAATGCAATTAAATTAAACTTGCCATGCATGATCTGCTTAATACTACATGAACCTCGTAAAAGGTGCCTTTGTCATTATTACATGGCACTCAGCGCCGAGCTCAGCGTATCCTGTCTGTTGTGCCTTGGCAGGTCAAACATTTTCTTATGTGAACATAAAACGTTCAAACAATACCATAAAGCGTTACGTTCAGCTCATTTCATTCACGAATCATTTCAAAACGTGGCATATTGTTGGATTCGGTACAATTACAAAAGGAGTATGAATGCGATATAAAAACATGACAACAACGCGACCACATTCACCCGTCATCAAACATCCAGTCGTTCACAACTTCGTCAAAAACGAAACTGTTATCAAAATCTAAACCGTCAACACACGTTACACAACGTCAAGCAAGCAACGACTACACAACGGGACGGTATAAATAATCTAACCTGGTGCGAATCTCAATGCGGGTGCGAGAAGCGATGATGGTCGACGGTAGGCGGATCCAGGATGAGGCTGCGCGATACGAAAAAATGACCGCTTTCTTCTGAGAAGCGTCCAGGCTAGCAAAAAGCGCCTCTTTCATAAACTGAGCAGTGCTCATTCCACCTGTCCACGAGCCCTGAATAAAACTCCGGATTAAGCAACACGAGCCGCATGTGCGGAGCGGATTGTTATGCAACGTGCTTAGCGTCTGGAATTTTTCCGCTTTCTCTATTTATTTGCTGTCATTTTAACGGCGTGGGGAAGGGTTTAATTATTTTAAACAGGTCGGCGGAAGGGTGAGATCGGTGGCGGGCCACCCCGGCATTCAGTGCGAACCACGCCGGAGGTGGCGTGGCTTGCTGCCCCCGCCCGGTCACAGACATGCCCCGAGGCTCCCGCCAGCCGCCCGCCCTGGCGGAGACGGGCTTTCCCTGGGGGTGGCGCGTTGCGCTGCGCTGAGGGCCGGCCACCGTTTTTGTTTACCCTGTCACCAGTCCGGCTGTGGCGCCGGGATCGGCGGATTTTTTGTCGCTATTTAGAGGGAAGGGTTGTTTTTTGTTGGCTACTTTTTGTGAGCGTGGGCCCGCTTTTTTCTCCCAGCGTGGCGGCGTCCGAGGCCTGGGAATGCGTGCATTCCGGCGAGCCAGTCGCCGCGCGGGGACGGCCGACCGGCGGCCGACTAACAAGTGGCGGGAAAAAAACGTCCCGGCATGGCATGCAGCCTCCCAGGGCGCTGGTGCCAGGACATGAGGCTATTTATGATGCGATGTGCTTCTCCGATCAGATGAAAGGGGATGCATTGCGGGCATAGGCTGGAAACATCAGTGACATCCATTATTATATTTTTGCCCTTTTTTGTAGAGCGCTTTTACTGAAAAAGCTGGAGCGTCATCAATCATTTTAAACCCGTAGAGATTATTTTCGGTCGGCCTGATATTATTCCGACAATGACATTAATAAAATGAATCACAATAATAAACAAAACAGAGCTTAATCAACATACTTCTTCCCAATTTCGCAAGGGTGTGCGCCAAGCGCGCCAAATGCTGGCTATGTCGGATTGCATCCTTTTTAGAAAAAAGTGCTACTTGTCTTTCTCTGAAAAGAAGGGAAGTGAGACGTCGTGTGTCCCCTCCCCTCGCGCTGGCGTGCTCCCGGCATGACACGTTTTTTCTTCCTTCTTCTGCCGGCCCCCTTGCCTTGGAAGCCCTGCGCTTTCTACATAGCTTTGCGCTATGGAAGTGTTCATGTAACTCATACTGGGAGAGTTGTAGTTGATGGTAAGTGCAGCATTGTCCTATACGCTCTAGCTGATTGTCATTAATGCTATATGGTGACGTTTCATTTTCATTAGCAAATGCTTTGAATTTTTGACGGCCATGGGCTGACAACAAAAAACTTGATGTATATGTTCGACTCTTCTGAGGTGTCGACGGGAACTAACCAGCTTGTGAAGCAAAATGCCTCCCTGTCCACAATTTGCATATTGATATGAGCGATCCGAGTGCAAAATGACTTGTCAAAAACATTCGATCCAGGACGTGTCGCGCCATTTGTCGCAATCCATCTCGCAAAATCGCGTCGAAGTCACCGAGCGATGCCATCGCCCCCCCCCCCCCCCCCAGCGTCCCCCGTCCCTGGGGCTGGCGCGTCCCCCGGCGCCGCGCGTTTTTTGCTGCGGCGGCCGCGCGCCAGGGGTGGGAGCTGGCCGGCCGGGCACTGCCGGGTGGGAGAGCCCTATAGTGGAGAGCGCCCGCTTCAAGAGGACAGCGCGCGGCGCCCAGTTGTGAACGGGTTGGCGGAGCGAGTGGTCGGCCGGGCGGCGCCATGGCGCAGGTGAACCAGGCGGCCGTGCTGACCGTCATGCGACGCCTCCTCGACTCGGCCAAGCACACGGTGAGGACTCGGCCAGGCCGTCGCCGCTGCTGGCGGCGGCGGCGGTGTTGGCGACGGAGGGCGCGCGTTCGTTGTTGAGATGTGACAGCCAAATTTGTTTGCGGGCTTGTTGTTAGAAGCAGTGTGGGTTGTTGTGAAGCCGGTATGGCGCTGGACCTTAGGGTTCGAGGTCAGCTTGAAACAATTGGTCGAGTAAAATAAGCCGTTTTTAGGCATCCATTGTTCCGCTCCACGCACAACGTTGGCCATAGTTGACTGTCGCGCATTAAGCCGGTGATTACCAGCCTGTATGCCTAAACATTTTACCTATATGCTCGTTCTGGACTTCAGTATCCCCAAAGCCGGGCAAGAATTGGCGCATCGTCGGCCAGAATTCAAAACACTTTACCTCATACGGCTCATCACCTGGTGGCTCATCACCTGGCGGTCACTTTATATGATGCCGACCGGAACCGTCGTTTTTGACCTCGGAGGCACGGGATGCCAACATTGGAGAGGGGGGGGGGGGGGTGTCGGGGGCTTAAAGTTGAGCTGTTTTAATTTCTATGGTGCGAGTTAGGGAGATTTACTTTTTCCGCTTCAACTCAGCCGGTGTTGGGTGAGGAAAGGCAATACGTGCAAACATGTGCAAACGTGGATGACGAAACGAATCACATAAATGCGCACAGACATACCCCAGGAATTTTTACTGCAGACTACAGGACGATTGCTGCAATGACGACCAGGTGCGCACGCATAATTTTCTTAAATTCAAATAAATTTGACTGTTAAGCTCGTATCAATGTCAAACAACCAAAGCAGTGCAATGAAAAATGCTGCTCTCTTCTACTAGCCTCATATGTAAAGAACACATGTAATTAACGCGGTTTTGAGAAAAACTGCGCAGCAGAAAAGAACAAACCCTTGGCTGATATAAATTTGTGAAATGAATCAAGAAAAGGTGGAACAAATAAAGAGGCACCTCCAAAAGATCGCTACAGAGAAATGGGTCAGGCTTCCTGCCATTGAGGGTGTGGCATAAGTACATGTTTGGACACGTTCTGGTTTACCTTTGCTGAAGCTTTCTCCGTGCCATGATTGACTTCACACGGTAAAAGCGTGACTGTTTCTTTTTTCATGCACACAAATAGCCAAGTAATTATCGTCCTGAACTGGGGCTGCTGTTGGCTTGCAGTTGCGCCTCAAAATTTCCACGCTCGAGCATGTCAGCACCATGACTTAATTATTTTTTTCGGGCACTTCAACCGCACGACGAAGAGAAACCTCCAAAACTGGAAAATCACGAACGCCTTTTGATGGCATTTTGAGCTTGTTATTGGAAATACGTCTGGATCCCAAGGCTGGATCCCTTATGCTGCAGGATTAATCGGTCACAGACACTGGATCTAAAATTCTTGCTTAGCATCTAGGCAAATATTTGCTCGTAATCCTTGGCAGGTCTACTGGATTTTTGCTTTTCAAAGCTGGCGGCTAGGCTTGGTTTGGCTGAGATCTGAGACCTTTCGGTCAGCGAGAAACATTTCAGGGGTGTGATGGTATGGGGGAGAAGTGAACGGTGCGGCACGACTGCGGCTATCTGGGAGTCTTCCGCTACGGAAACTCGCCCTGCACAGGAAACCTGCTCTGGTCTTGTGCGGGAGCTGGGTGGGGCTCCCGCCTGGGTGGCACGGGACCTCGCTCATCGCTAGCGTAAGGAAATTGTCTCGGAACAACGGCCAGCGGGGATTCGGGACGAAGAGATGAACGAGGAAAAGAAGGTGGATCAATTACACGTATCATCCGTCCCATCTGGCCCTTGCACCTCTGTCCCGCGCCGCCGAGCTCTCCGCGCGCGGCTGGCCTCTGGTGACGCGTGCTGCTGACGGCCGGCGCAGCGGTGCCCCCCCCCCCCCCTCGACCGGCGCGCACCGTTGGCCGGTCGGCGGCGCCAGGTAGCGGCGGCCCCCCTCGCGCCGTCTGACCGGTGGCGCCTTGTTTACCGCTGTCAGGCGGAATGTGCGGCTATTTCGGGCCGGTCGGGACAAACAGAGTCCGTCTGCGGCGGCGGCCGGTGGGCACGCGCCCCCGGCCGGGCGTCCGTCCCCCGGCGCCTGCATCCTCCGCTTCCGGGAAACGGGCCGACGGCGACGCGGGCATTAATCAGCGTCACCGAGTCCGCGGCCGAGCGCGGCGGCAGCCGCGCCCGTCAAAAACGCCACCCTGGTCCCCGTCACAACACCACTGCACATGGGGAACCGGCGTGCCTGTAGAGAGGGGGGGGGGGCAGCCCCCGGCGGCGCCCCCGGGAGTATTTGTTTACGGAGCCGGCGCGGTCGGACCGGCGTCTGATAGGCGGAGGGCCGGGCCAGGCTCGGCTGGCTGTGGAGGCCGCCCCGGGCCATCTGACCGACCGCCGCTGACCGCTCCCCGCCCGCGCCGCCTCCCAGAGGCGCCGCGCGCGCGAGCCGGAGTGTGTTGTGTGCTGCGCGGGGACGGCCGAGCGCCCAGGAGAGCGGTGAGAACACTGCTGCGAGTATGCGCGTGAGTAGGGAGATGGAGAGCGCGAGTGAGATGAGGCACGTGCCTCGCCTTTTGTCTCGCGTGCTGCCCTGACAGTGACACTAGTTCTACGAGCGCAAACTCCGTCTTGGCGTGTTCATCGCAATTTGAGATGGAATCGCCCGCAGTGCATTTGCAGCGCCATATACATGCTGTCCCGGGGACTCCCCCAGTGACGGACTCTGAGCGCGTGGAGCGGTCCCCGCTGGTGCAACGCGGGACCTCTGAGCGATACGACCCTTCAGCCTGCTGTTGCGGCGTCGTAAAAATGGCCAGCTGGTTCGGCAGAATGCACATTGCACGGTGCTGCTGTGGGTGTGGGATTCGCCCAGGACCGGTGGATCGCACCCGAGCCGGATGTTTCTCTAGGGAAAATATGCTCCATTCATGCTGTCCTGTGCTTTGCCGCCACCTTTATTTCCTGATTGTGGAAGGCGTGAGAACCTCGTGAGAGGTGTGGCGTCCGCGCCCGTTTTAGAAATAACTTCGCTCCGTCATCACCATACGGTTAATGTCCAGCTTCGCATGCAATGCGGATGCACCATGCCTTGACTCGTTCCCTCCTCTGTCCATTGCCTGTGCGCCTGTTTCATGTTTGTCCTTCAACAAGGACGTATTGCTCTACCTGTCCGTTCGGTACGAGCCGTTGCTGCATGGTTATAACCGACACCGCCGAAAGCACCGAGGGCGTCCCAACCAGACTCTATTTCCCCACCCGAATTCCGCGCCGCCGTCGCGGCCTCACCCTTCCTCCCGGCCCGGGCGACCCTGACCGGGCGCGGCGCGTCCCCGCCGGCCGGCCGGCCGGTGTCCAGTCGCATGGCGGCGTGTCACCGGCGGGCCGGCCGCGCCGCCACCCCCGGGGCCGGCCGGCCGGCGCTGCCATCAGCCGATTATGCGCCTAACGGTGCCCGGCCGGCCGCGCGGCGCCTGTTTGTATTTGTGTGCACCGGCCGGGAAGGGTTATTTTCGGGCCGGCCGGCGGGCCGGCGGCGGCGGGCGTCAAACGGCCCGCGAGACGCCGTGACGTCACGGGTGCGTCACCTGGCGCGGCCGGCGGCGGGCTGCGGCGCCGGGCGAGTCCGGCCAGTGCGGGGGCACAGGAACGGTCCGTGGCGATACCGGCGAGGCATGGGGGCTCTTACACCCACGAGGTGAGCTGGTGCGTGGTGGTGTCTTACGAACGGATGCGGCCGCTGACGAGGTCTCTGAGCAGGTTTGCATGCGTGAGCGAGCGCTGCTGGGAAGTTAGCAAACCCGCTGCGTTGCTTTACGTCGAGTTCTGCCGGCTGTTCGTCTGTGGAAAAATTGGAAAAATGAGGAGTCACCGCTCGCCGCATTTCCAACCCAGATGAAGACGGAAAATAAAGCGGTGTATCTGGACCGCCTCGGGCAAAGACACGTCACTCGTCTTCCGCTCTTCCCGGAACTACTGAATGAGACACAATGGCGATTAGGGCCCAGCTTTGTGGACAAACCCGACTCGGAGGAATTGGCGCTGCTTTGTTTGGTGGTGCCACAAAACCTTTACGGTGGTTTCGAATGAAGGCCTGCTTATTTCGTCATTGTCTGGGGAGCAGGGCGCCCGCTCACAAATACCGAACCGCGGGGCTTTTCACCGGGGTGCTAACCGCCTCGCCGTCGGGCTCGAAGCCCATTCCCGTATAACCAACTCGACTTGCTTGCGTCTTTAATGTGGCGTCTCTTCTTGCAGCTGCATATATCTGTATACTTACATGCCGAGGGAGCACGCTGAAATATGGCGCATACCCGTGTATATGGGTCATGACGAGCAGTGCCGAAATGCCGCGCTGGAACAGCGTGGCGGCATTCCTGGACCAGCAACTCATCCCGCCGTCACCATGGCAACCTATTTTAAATCAGACAGCCATAATTAAAAAAGATGGCCAAGAGGCACTCGCGAGGGGTAAAACTGCTGAGTGGGAGCAGCCATCCCAGCCATCGACGACGACAAATTGGTTCGAAATCTTCTAATCTGCTCCCCTAATGACGGCGATGTGTTTGAGAGGCTGCATTTTTCGCCAGATTTCCGATTGTAAAAACTTTAAACAATCGTGGCCCAATCCAGAGCATTCTACCTTTCCTTGGGTCTTTGTTCATTTCCGGTTCGAGAACCTTTGCATGACTGCTTCGCACACGACGGAAAAAAGAATGGCCAGAGCTTACTCATAAGAACTGGGCTTAACCATGGGCAAGCAACACACTCCGTGATCATCCCCCTGTCCAAGCCACAATCGCCTTAACCATCCACCTTGCCCGTGCCCAGCTCTGGTGCTCCCGTCTGCGTCGCAGGATCGCAGATTAGGACGAGAGAGGCTGTCACAGCTGGTCACAGCTGACTGGCTGTCACACCTGGTCACAGCTGACTGGCTGTCACATCTGACTGGTCGCTCGGTCCGCGGCGTAGCTCCACATCGCCACAGTGAGCCAGTCGCCGGGCTAGACTGGCTGGTGCTGGAACGGACCGACGGGGCGGCACCCCGCCGTGTCAGGACGCGAGACGTTCTCCGCCGGAAGACTGCATCTGGAACATTCAGCAGGCGGCCCGGGATACGGGGCCCGTTCTGTTTGACGGCGTCACTAACGAGCTGAAAAGGAAGCGGCAGCCGCCACGGGAGGCGCCATATTTTAGCGCCGCTCCATTAAAACTCAGTCGCTGCCGCCCGCTCGCCTTGTGTGCATGCACTCTCTGCAGCTTATCGTGAATTTTTAACCAGCCCCGGCGTGCTAAGCTCGCCATTTGCATGCTGTTAATTTTTCATCCCTGAGCTCTGCCAAAGCTGTGAGATTGCCTGCTAATTAGGACATTTCTCGGCGGCGCTTGATCACGGAAATAAGCGCGTGCTGCCGGCGGCGGCCGGGGCGTCCCTCAGTAGCGTCGGGCCGACGTCGACTGCTTGCGTCGACGGCTTCCGGGCCGGTCCCGGTGCCGCCGCCAGCCGCGCCGATAACACCGGATCCATACCGGCTAACGGCAGTATTTTTCGCCTTCATTTCCGCGATGCCGGCGTCGCATTTTTGGGACAGTCTGCACAAGGCCTCTTCTCCGTCGAGCCCTGTGGTGAGATGGGGTTAGTGCGACGAGGCGGATGTGCTGGGTATCCGGTTTTTTTTGGCTCTTATCGTAGGCTGCACAGGTGCATGCTTACATTGACATCGGAGAAGCAAACCACGGTGAACCTTCTTATCCTGCTTGATTTACGAGCTCTTTGAACCAGTCCACCCTGGCTTTGATCCTCACCGTCATAGCCACACCATACCGACCAGAGCTCTCATAGACGGTTCCGTAATCGCATCGGACGTGTTTGTGGGCGCGGCGCGGGAGGTAGGTGTTTGTGCCTCCAATGACCTGGGAGAGGCGTTCCTCTACCGTGATCCGTACAATGGCCGGCTCAGTGACTCGCTGTCCCGTTCGGTAGCGATAGTGTGACAGCCGATGCCGCCACTTGATCGATCTAAGCAGTGACCCTGGCAAGCGCTCGGTCTGCCTTACCGGTGACACTGATGTTGCCTCAGTTGACCTCAACAGCAGCCCTGATACGCAGTTTGACCTCAGCAGTGGCCCCGCCGCCAAGCTGACCTGTGTAGTGACCCTGCCGCTTGGTTTACCCCACCAGTGACCCTACCGCACCCGAATGACCTCACCAGCGACCTTGACGCTCGGCTGACCGCACCAGTGACCCCCGCTTGACCTCTACAGGAGGACGAGCCGGTGCTGGGAGCGGACGAGGCGGAAGAGTGCCGCCAGCCGTCCGCCATCAACCTGAGCACGCCGCGTGGCAGGACGCCGGACCACCTCGACTACGCCGACTCGAACGTGAGTGCATAGCGCGGCCCGGGCCGTCGGGCGCGGCGCCCAGACCCACCGCACGCCCGTGGCTCGACGGGCCCCCGGCCGCAGCCACTGCGGTGCAGGGCCGGAGCAGCGGGGTGGCTGCGGGGTGGCGGGGCGGCAATCGACAGCCCGTGAGATCGAAGTGCGCGGTCCTGTATCTCGGCCGTCCCTCCGCGATTAACGTGACAGGGCGCCGCGGTGACGGCTGTCAAGGAGGGACCTAGAAAGCGAACTGCAGGGACGCGAGGGCGGAGACGCCGACGCGCTCAGCTGCCTGACCACACACCAGGCTGCCGCGTGACCCGCAGTGTACCGACAGCCGCGTGACCCGCAGTGTACCGACTGGCACGTGACCCACAGTGTACCGACTGCCGCGTGACCCGCAGTGTACCGACTGGCGCGTGCTGCGTGTAAGGCGTGCGGGCGCGTGGGTGGCGGGCATTCATTGCCATCAAACATTGAGCCTGTTTTGGCCCGCCGCGCAGGTCGCCGTCGCTCGCTGGCCGAATTATCGACTGCTGTTTAGCCACGCCGCCCGCCCGTCACCGACAAACAATGCATTAGGCATATGTTTGTGCCGCTCTGGCTGCCTCGCCTGCATGCGTGCAGAGGGCGGGCTGAGAGTCCAGGGCCCGGACGGCGCCGGCGCTGGCCAGAGCTGGCCGGCAGGGCTCTGTACGGTGGGGAGAGCCGAGAAGAGGGAGCCGCTGGGTCTGGCCGGCTGCGGTCGGGCCGTCGGGTTTACCAGACTGCGACCTTCAGATGGTTTTTGTGGTCTTTTTACGGTGATCGTACGCTACTCGGCAAAAACTTGCGACGCGTCTCAATCGAGTTGGTCGAAACTCTGAGGATCGGGGCCGTTGCCGGCTGTTGGGAGAGGCGACCATTTCCGGTGGCCTATTTGTGCTGTTCGGTGGTGCGTTTGTGCACTTAAACGATGAAACCGACACACCATTCAACCGGCCTTAGAGCTTGCACGTTTCGTGGGCACGATTCATACTGAGAATCCCTAGAAATTAGCACAGGTAACATTTTTATGATACCCTATCAATATTCATCATGCGGTCTGCTATTACATGTTTTGGTATTATCATGCCGTGTGAAGTAGTGAACATCAGATGCCTGTCAGCTGCGTAGATTACGGACGGCTTCGATCACCACACGATAATTCCGGCAACCCGCTCATCAACGGGCCTTGCTCGCCTGTCATCAGCGCTTATCCGTGGTGAGAATCCGTCCGCATCTGCGCTGGGATGTCGTCTACTCTGAAGCGTGGTGACAGCTGACAGCCAGACAAAGCACGCAACATGCGGCCGTATCGCTGTATCAGAACTTATAGTACGGTCACGAATTTACGACAGCACACGATTCTGAAACTGGCCCACTGGCGAGCGCTGAGCGCGGACGTTCATGCGAAGGTTTTCCCGCCGACCGTGCTGCCGCCTGGCGGGCGTGTTGGACACTGACCATCCTTGCCGGCTAGCCGCCTGCTGAGGACGCGTCCAAGCGATCCTGTCAATCGGCGACGGAATTGGTTGGGGTTACGATCACATTTTGTCGATAAACACGCAAAAGTTAATCACACAGAAGCGCCCAGTCTACACTGCTGAAGGACGCAATTTGTTCATCTCGGCGCCAACAACTGGCATTTGTAATTATCAACATATGGGGCTCATTAGAAGAAAAAAGCCAGAAGAGCGAGCCGAGCGATGGGCTCCAATTTCCTGTTGCGCAGCCATAAGACACACAAGCATATATGAAGGCTACTATGGTTAGATCGGCTTTTCCGCTGTTTCATACTGTCAAACGCACCAGTGATCCAATCCGCCTGAGGCTACCAGGGCCCGGAGCCTATCGAGTCTCAATGCTTCTTGCACCCATGGTGCCGGCCATGCCACTGAAAAAAATCTCCAACAGCATATTAAGTGCTGCTGGCGCTCCTTGCCGGTCTAGGGCTGCATCCTGTTTGCTGCACGGTATTGACATGGCAAACGGCGTGTGCCGCTGATGTCATTTCATCGAACTGGCGGCGGCGAGAGCGGCCCGTTACGCGCCGGCCCACCGCTGTTGTGCAGCGGAGCACGTGGGGCCCAGCGGGCGCCGGTCCCCGCCCACCGGTGCCGCCCGAGCGGCGCGGCCGGGCGCGGCCCGCCCGAGCGCGGCGGGAGGGCAGACGCTTAGTGCCGCGCTCCGATGAGGAGCTCTCTGTGAAATGTGTTTGGGTGTGCTGGATGGCGCTGGTACTTGGAAAGGAAGCCTGGGAGTGGGTTTTTAAGGCAGGGTATGATCCCGGTCTAAGTATGCATAGGAGTGGGTAAGCAGGCCATTGTGTCATCATCTGGGCATCCAAATTATCCAGTCTGAAGTAAAGAAGTCCCACTTATTTAAAGGCCCCAGTTACGTTCCACGCTTTACCCAACATTACCCATGGAAGCTACCCATGGTTCCATGGCCACAGACTACGTGGCTATCCATGGAACTGTGGCCATACCTACCTGATACGCTGCATGACCTACAGCAGTCGATGCGCCCTAAAACCTACCTGATACGCAATGTAAACCAGCTGTACCCTTCCGTTATCCATCTGTTTCCATTTTATGAGCACTTTAGTTTTGAATTATGGAAAGGCTTAAAGACAGTTAACACCAAATTTTACCCTTTCGCGCTGATAATTGCAGATACAGGATGCATTGACTTAATGATTGTTAAAGGAATAGACAAGCAGTAGCAGTGTGTAGTATTTCTTGAAGCATCTACCCGACATACCGTAAAAGTTTTGCCGCTAATCTTGCGCACGTCCGTGAGTTTCCTGTGTGGATACACATAGATTTACCCAACCCTTGGAGTTCTCTGGCGGTTATGTTTAAGTGCATCACGTGCCATACGTAGAAACGGCTCATCACACTTTGCTAGCGCGGCATGCTCTACAGAGCCCCGGGGGCAGATCTACGGGTCCTCACCTCGACTTACGTCCGATTCCTCTTCATAACCGCTTGGCCAGCATAGCTCGCGCTGGAACATCCACACATCACTCACCATAGCACAATACCGCATGCGCCCCGCGCAGCAGGCCACGGCTGTCTGTCTGTGCCAATCCTCGCCGGTTGCCACTGTCCCACGTCCCGCCAGCGCCAAATAGCGGTAGCCCGCGGCTATGTCCGGAATAACCCCTGACCCCTCGCATTCGGCCGCTCTGACCGGACGCGAGTCAGGGTCCGCTGGCCGGTCTCAGCCGGATCGTATCAGTGATTGGACGACCCTTTCCGTCGCGCCGCGATAAAAATTTGCACTATGGCCGCTTGACGCGGTTGCTACTTTGATTGCTGCAAAACTCGGCGATAGTTCGGCGGAGGGTTCCGTCCAGTTTATGGGATTGGGGCTGGGTTGGCCGTCCCCCGGGGCGTATCACGGCGGCCGCCGGTCGCGCCGCTCTCCTGTGACGAGGTCCGAACTGTTTGGAGGTCATAACGCTCCGCTCTGGGGGCGAGCCGTCAGAAATTGAACGGAGACTGGGCTCCTGGCTGAATACCGAGCCGCAAGCCGATCGGATTTGGGTGAGGTGTGGAGCGTTTCACGACCTCCCGTATCCACTGGTCTCTCGTAGCCCGGCTGGCTTGAGGACCCGGGGCAAACCGAAGTGCAGCAACTTACATAATATGCGGGGTCTCAGTCCTGTGCGCATTTTTACAAAATACAGGCAGACTCCAGGGGTCTTTATCGGTCTTGCATCGGTCACCGGTCGCCATCGGCCATTGGCGCTTCATAGGTTTACCGTAGTTTTACTGTTAGCCAAGTACTGCAGGCTGTCATAAACTTAAAGCAAGTAGTTCCTTCAAAGTGGCTGGTCAATATTTTGAAGTTGTGATTGCCGTTTCGCTTGGTTTGCTTTCCCTCGGCCAATTGTGTATAATTTGATGAGAAATGTTATCGCAAAGACTCAGCGCCGCAAAGATGCCTTTATCTCGGCCCCTCAGAAGTGACACCGGCATTTCTTCATATTCTAAGCCGTAGCCAAAGTGTTGATTCTCTTCTTTGTTATTGATATCTCCATCGCTGAGTCCGGTCTCAATGAATGCAATTTCGCTCTTTGGGCTCTTCAAGCAATTTAATGGCGTATAAATTGAATGCTTCCTCTTTTATTTGAGCCCGCTGATTCAGCGTGCTATTGAAACTATCTGCAATAAAAGCTCGCCGCCAGGGATGCGCGGCTGCTCCGGCCGCTGAATAAACCATCCACAGCTTCTCCGTACAAATTCTGCGCCGCAAACGACCGTCGGCCAGCAGGGAAATTAGCGGTCCGTTTGACCATCGGCCGCCACTGCACGTGAACTGTCGCGCCTGGCCACCGCCGTCTGGCGCTGTTCAAATAATGACATTTGACCGCCGCCTGTCGATGAGCGCAATCAGAGGTCGGGCGCCGGCGGAGCGGCGGTGTCGTTAGTCGGCGCGCCGGCCGACGGTGCGCGGCCGCCGCGTCTTGGCCGGCCCATTACCAGGTAATAGACGGGGCCGGCTTTATGATTGCCTCGGGAGGAGCAGACTGATGGCGCTGCCATCGCTATCGACTCACAGCGGTCCTGCAGGAGCGGACGTGCCCGGGTCCTGTGCCGGACAGCGGCTCTTGCTCATGTTCTTCAGCTGACGGGTCCGAGCCGGAGGTCTGGAGGGTCTGAGACATGGGCCTGAAAGGTTTGAGACATGGGCCTGAGGGGTAGAGGTCCGTCGCTCAGGCCTTACAGGTGAGAGGGCATTGTTATGCAGATGCAGACATCAAGGCTCCCTACGTTCGAGAGACCCTCCACATCCTAAGATCATGCACCTGAAAGGCCTTCGTGCCACTTAGACATTGAACCTGAGTACCTCACTCCTTTTCAGGCTTTGCGCTGGGTGAGCCACCTACTATCCAGGCTTGACTCCTGAAAGGGTTTTCTGTCGCCCATGCCCTTGATTTAAGGCTTTCTCCCCAGCAAGGCCCTGCAGCT